AAAAAAAAAAAAAAAAAAAAAACAGTCTTTACCAACCGATTGTGAGTCGCTTGTTGAGGCGTGTTTTGATTTCCATTGAGTGCTCCTTGGATGTCATTTCATCCTTCTTTAATGTTTGTTAAACAACAAGGATGACGTGACACCCGGGTGGGAATCCGAACATGCCCCTGGAAGGAACCCTTAGTGTACCTGCACATATATATACACGTACCAGAGAGAAACCTGAGAGAGGACATGAGTGCCTTTTTCCTGTAACCGCAAAATACCTTGTGCACTACAGTCTTCTGAAGAAGTGGATGTCAACATTATTCATTTTTTTTGCGATGCTCTTGATGGAAATAAATCGTTAAAGTTTTCACTAATTTGATAGATTTTAGTTATTTCAGCGATTTATTCCTATCAGTAGCTCGCAAAAAAGTGGATATTGTTGTGTTCCCCCCTAATATTTCTTGGTGCCCCCCCAATATTTTTCACAAGTCGGCGTTTATGTTCGATACGTTTGTTTATCTAATTTATTTAATTGTATCATCTATTATCGTCTAAAGATTAGATACGATAATTATTAACACGTATTTATTCATAATATATCTCGGCTTCATTTATATGATTAAAGAACTTGTCTCATTTTTTCTCCGCTTTCGTGAGGTGAGAATCGGGCAATTATAATAAATCGATGCTCATCGGAGATGGGATATTTTTATACTTGGGAAGAAGACGGTCGTAAAAGTTGCTACGTTGAGTTTATTCGCGCGCGATGATCGATTGCGACCTTGCGAGAAAAGGATGTATTAGTTAACAGCGGAATCGAGGTAAATGAAGCGGAAAAAATGCGAGTCGCGAACAATGACGGTGATGACGACGACGCTGCGTTGTTACTTTTCCACTTTGGCGATGATAATGCATCTCTCTCTCGTGAGAAAATCCTCTTCCTGCGTGAGTGTAAATTAATAATGATGATATTAAGCGATAATACAATGAGATCTGTGTCGTCGTTACTCGCAGTGACTTAGTGTGTCATAGCATGGAGAAACACAATTTATATTAAGAAGAGGTCTCGAAATACAAAGCTCCCGTTTAGAGAAGTAATTGACGGAAGATACTGAGAATAGTTATCGAGGTTGAAGTTTCTGACTTGTTAATTCTTAGGTCAGGAGCACAGATTCTTGCATAACGAATAACATATAAGGCATAAAAGAATCAATCAATTAGAGCCTTTTATTATGGAAAGGAAGGAAATAATAAAGATTTTGATTAGTTCATTTTCTTATGCAGTGTATTATGCAAGACTTTGTGCTCTCACCCTTAAACATCGAACGACTCTCCTTCCATTTTTTTTCCTCCATGATTTAGAATCATCTTCGAACGATGACGCGGATCTCGGTGCATAAAGTGATATTGAACTTTGGCGACACGAACTAGCAGGAAGAATGCGAAGATAATCTGCGTGATTTTAAAGCACTATTTCGAATCGTAACGATCGGAAAACACGACGCGTGTATTCATATGCAATTATATGATAAGATAAATGTATCAGTGAACAGTTGGTGGACATGACCTATAATTATTGAACGAAATGATAAAATTATAAATATTAATGTCTTTAATGGTAAGTACGACATTAAATAAATTCGTTGTTTATAAAAATTTAATAAGAATTTATTTAGCCGATTATAATTAAGAATTTATAGAGCCATGTATATCATTAAAAGCTTAATATTTAAAATATTTGCCATTTTGTTCAATAATTGGGTCGCATGTGCACCAACCAGTACATTTACCTTGTGTGATATAATAAGCGTTAACACGTCTGTCTCTTCTCTCCCCTTTCGATGCTTCTTTTGAACGATGCCTCGGAGGCCTGTGAAGTCAATTGATCACTAATGCAATAAAATTTCGATGGAAACACTCTATATTTCGCAACGCGTTACAATGGTGCTGTCGTTTTCTGAGACGATTTACAGTCGCTGTCTCCTCGCCCGTATTTACTTTTGTTGAAGTGGCGTGATGTAATTAGGCTATTAATAACAGAGACACGTCCGCGCGTTTGTCGGTCGAATGCAACGTTCACTGAGAGATGCAGTTCGCGCGTGTGCATACACGTATGTGCATTACACTTGAACCTTCGCATGCAAATCAGCGTGAACACGAAAATAATCGCGCGAGCAATTATTTGCCGTGTCGAGCCAGAATTTGCGAATCCGCTTGATACACTGAAAAAAAGATTGGCT